AACACCTGCAATGGGGATTGAACCTGCAACCTTGGTGTTATCAGCGCCACGCTCTAACCAACTGAGCTATCCAGGCACTCCCTCCTTTATTTTGCCCACCTCAGAGGGGGTGAGGGCATTTCAGAGAATCCCCACCAAACTACAGTTCCCAGGGTTCTTTGGAGAAAGCCATGGCAGCTAAACTGGATGAAAACCTGGTTGTGAAGAACAGCGTTGCCACATGAGCAGAGGCCCGTGTAGTATTTGTGCATAGGAAGAAAGAGCAATCTCAGAGAGAGTGGCACTGTGTAGGACCATGTAGGACCAGCCCAAGACATTTTGTTGCCTGTGATGCAGCAGAAAATGGGGACCTCCCCACAAGTCAAAATGCTTTGTACTCAAGGCAGACCAAATTGTTTTGGCATCTGAGCCACAAGCACTTCTTGTGAAGGTAACAACAGCAGCAGCAGCAGCAACAACAACAACACAATTTGCTGCCCTTTTTGGACCCCAAAACCAGCTGCTTGAGGTGGCCACCTCATTCCATTGGGGCTGGGCCAATGCAACTATGTACAGAGAGATAGGCAGATCAGCTGGGATCCTATGCACATGCAAGGATCAAGACTGGCACAGCTGAGCAGCCCAAGAATTGAGCCCCTCAGAGGATCCATGTGGCTTTGGTGTCTACCTGGTGTCTTGCCCCAAAATGCTGGCAGAAGAACCTCCTGCTGTAGCTTTCCACCCCCTAGAGTGAAGCTGGGGCCTCTCTCATGGCAGAGCCCCACCACCATCAGTGGTCCTCCTCTCCACCAGAAGAAGCCAGTGGGGAGCATCCTAACCCTTACACCCACGGCAATTAAAAGGTGTTTTCAGAGCTCCAAGCTCAACTGTCTCTGTATGACTCCAACTCCAACTCCCTGGTTGGTCCCTCCCCTCCCCTGCACACTTTTCATAGATAAATTTATGGGAAAGCCGGCAGTCATGTGGCTCTGCCTGTGCAATCCAGAAATAGTTTTACCACATGACTGAAGGAAGCAAAAACTTACCCCAAGAGATTACTGATGAAGACGAAAGCAACCGATTTTGACTCATTTATTTGAAATCTTTCTATACCACCCCTCAGTTTTAAAAACTTCTCATGACTGCTTGACAACTCATCAAAAATAAAATTTAGTCCAGCAGCGCATCCAAGCCCAGTGCTCAAGCCTCAGTAAGGAGCAATAGCAGCTAAAAGAGTGAAATCAGCATTTTAAAAACCGATTCCTGCTAAAGTGCTTTGAGTGTGAGCACCCTACATTGAAAGCACATTCGTTGCACGTTCAAAGGATGCTGCTTCCCCAAAAGAACCCTGTGAAGGGTAGTTTATCCCTCATGCAATTATAATTCCCAGCACCCAGTTCCCAGGATTCTTTGGGGGGAATGTGCTTTTAAATGTATGGTTTGGATGTGTGTTATACCAAGAACAAGAAGGACTAGGGAGGAGCAAAGCATCTGTGACCATCCCTCTGTGAGCCTTCATGTTCAAGCAGTCCTGGCAAGCCATACTTTGGCTTTGCTTTATCGTTTTGTGCAAACCAATGTTTCGTATGATTTTACACCATGAATCGGGGATCAGGGAAGGAAGAGAAATAATTCACTGAAATGTTTTAGAGTTACTTCTATTGACCCAACAATGTACCAGATCAGTACTCCCATGTAGGGCCAGCCTGTCCGTGAGGCAGATGGAGGCAGCTGCCCCGTGTGGCTGAATCCAAGGGGCAGTGCCCTTCCAGGTTCCAGCGAGATCTAGCACTGTCGTGGGCACACCCACACCCTGCCTGGAAACTGAAGAGAACGTTTGTGGCAAGCAAGATATTGTGGGGCTCTCATGAGATCTTGTCAAAAACTGCCACTCCTCCCTTTCCCCAAGACTGGGGGATGTCCCCCTACCTCTGGAGAAGTTGTGGCTTCTAGGATTTGGTGAAATCTCACAGACCTCTCACAAGATCTTGTGGACCTCTCGTGAGATCTTGCTGAAACCAAGAAGACATGCTGTGGCACAGGGCCATCTTTAGCAATTGCGGCACCAGGGTGCAAATATCTGCCCAGTGCCCCAAATTACCACGGATAGTGTTGGGGTGGCCGTAGCTGCGCACTGCCAGCCATCGGGGGGGGGGGATGACTCTCCCCCATGCTGCTGCAGGAGTGATCCTCACAGAGGCTTGGGAGTGAAGTTGCGCCCCTCCCAAGCCTCTGTGGTAGGAGAGCGCAGCTTCCCTTCCAAGCCTCCTCGGGAGGAGAGTGATCCCTGCAGAGGCTTGAGAGGGAAGCTGTGCACCCGCCAGCCATATGGTTGGCGGGCGCAGCTGGCAGGCATGCAGGGCAAGGGGAGGCCGCCAGCTAAGCCACACAGCTCCCCCACTTGCTGGGGCGCCCCTGAGAGGCCGGCGCCCTGGCACGACGCACCACTAAGCCCTATGGGAAAGATGGCTCTGCTGTGGCGCTCCATAAGAGCAACACTGAGACTGGTAGAGGAAGCTGACGGGCAATTGTAAGAAGGCAGGCAGGTGGGGGCTGATGGAGGGCAGACTGAGGTTAGTGGGCAGTGCTCCATTTGCCCTCGTGCGCCTGTCTCCTGTGTCTACCTCACAAGCGAGATCAAACGTAGAGGGATGAAATGAACTAACTGTTTGACCTAGAGCTGCGGCACCCATATGGTGCCCACCATATGTGGACTAGAAATCCCATCTGCCACAGCCAGCATAACCAAGGATCATGGATCATGGGAGTTGTAGTGTCGTCCACAACATCTGCAGAGCACCAGGCTGGCTACCTCGGATTTCGAGAATCATTTCACTTCCACCATGTTAGAAAAGGTCAGAACACAATAGCAGAAATGAGTAAGTCGCCAGCTGTGAGGACTAACCACATGCTTCAGTTTCTGCTTTTGAATCTTTCTCAGCCCCAATCTGTTCTGAAATGAGGAAGTTAGAAATAATAAGACAAAATGATACAGGAGCGAGTAAAAGCCCTGTCCTTTATTTGTGGCACCAAATTGCTACAGGAAAACAATGATTAAAAGTCATTGTTAACTGAATGGGGCTGTTGCAATATTTCAAATCAAGGCTATCGCATAATTAGATTATGACATAAAAACAACTTATGTCAAGTCTCACCTCCCGTTCAGACTGTTCCTTCCCCCTTTTGTTGTCTGCCCACCACCCCCATACATATTTCAACTGCAAACTGAGACTGGAACACTTGCACTTTCATTTCTGCTGGCAACAGATTCAGTTCCACTTTTTTACTCACATGGCTGCGGGGAAGAGGTTACGTGCAGCAATCTGAACTGGAACCCCACCCCAGAAGCGAATCACATCAGCAAAGAACAAACAAGGAAACAAAAACCCAGTTGGGTAATTCCAAAGAGACGAATGTAACATTTGTAAGTTGCTTGCCATAATATACTGCATGGGTAGGCAAACTAAGGCCCAGGGGCCGGATCCGGCCCAATTACCTTCTCAATCTGGCCCGCGGATGGTCCGGGAATCAGCGTGTTTTTACATGAGTAGAATGTGTCCTTTTATTTTAAATGCATCTCTGAGTTATTTGTGGGGCATAGGAATTCATTCACTGTTATTATTTTCAAAATATATTCCGGGCCCCCACTAGGTCTGAGGGACATTGGACCGGCCCCCTGCTGAAAAAGTTTGCTGACCCCTGATATACTGTATTGTGTATTATCATGGTGCATAGTCAGGAAATCTGATCAGAAAGCAGCCATTCACAGTCAACGAACCCTTACCACAACCATTCTTCTGAACATTGTCCTAGCAATTCTTATTATAAGGCACCAGGCAGAAATAAGAAATGGCTGCTTCCTGTCACTACAAAGAAAGAAAGAAGTCATAGCTTCTTTCTCTCTTTTCCCATGGCACAAAGCCCATTCTCTCACATAGAATTATGAGCCATCTGTCTTTTTATTTAAATTCTTCCTTATTTAAATTCTTCCTTGGCTGTGTGTTGGTTGCACTAAAAACAGATGCCAAGGAATCAGCGCATCAGATCACCTTGGCCATTATGGGTGGTCAGCTTTGGTGTGGGAGGAAGTTCTGAACGTGGCTGGTGGAGAATGAGCATGTGATGTGATGTGGCACCAAGGAAGTTTCCCAGTTGCTGGGAATTGCAAGTGGGCAGAGTGCTGTTGTACTCAGGTCCTGCCTTAGGCTATTGAGAGAACAGGATGGTGGACTTGGTGGCCGATCAGCCTGATCCAGCCAAGGCTCTTCTTATGCTATTAAAGGAACCGTTTCTATTTGTCCAGAAAAGTTGCTAAGATAATTCTGGAGAGAATAAGAAATGGTGGGTTCTAGCAGTGGTGGACCGACATTTTGGGGGCCCTGTAGTTTGAACTGTTATGGGAGTCCCTTTGCAACCAGCAACAAGGTCTGAGTAACCACTGTTACCTTCTTCAACGGGGTTGTTCCACCATCACATTAAAAAACAACAACTACTACATCTCAGATTTTGATTAAAATTTCTGTACTGGATTGTCTCCCAGGTCAAAGTCACTGGTGTGAATAAAAAAAATCCTATTCTTTATAGTTTTCAAGTCACACAACTCAACTTTGGTCTACTAGACGCAAACATTTTAAGCAATGTGGACTAAAGTCGGCTCTGGGGCCCCTCTGGGATTAGGGGCCCTGAAGTTTAAACTTCATTAGTTTCATAGTGGATCTGCCTCTGGATTCCAGCAAAACTGCTATTGTTTGAGGACCCGTATATTGAAACTGTTGCTGCCTGGTTCTAGGTGCCTATTCCTGAACCTGCATAATACCTGCTCAGTAAAGCTATAAGGAAACAGATTTCTGCAAATATGCCCCAGTTATATTTCTTATTGTGCTGTAAGCCTATCAGAGGCTGCTCTAAAGTTTGTCCAACCTGAGAAAGAGAAAGTACCGTATAAAGCAGAATAGTTTTGCTTCCTCTTTAAATGATTGACCTTAGCATAAAAAGAAGGAAGCCTTTACCAGCAGTAGAGAGAGAAGCACACTGAGACCATTCAGATGCTAGCTTTTCCTCTACACTGGTCGAGCCATGAGTACTTGGACAGGGATCGTTCTCTCCTTGACGCTCATAACTTGGGTATGTCGGGCACAGGAATCACCCTCGTGCCATCCTTCTGTCACTGGATTTCAGGCATGCAAACAGGTCTTGAATCTTCCTGCACTGGAAGTTCTTCCTGGAGGTGGCTGGGATAACCTGAGGAATCTGGATATGGCAAGAGTGATCAGCCTAAACTACTCTTCGTGCAGCACTACGGAAGATGGGGCTTATTTCATCCCCAACGGGTTTTTTGCCATCGCCCGTAAACAGAGCTCCCTGGAAATGAACTCAGAGATCATAGAGTCTTGGATGGATTACCAGTGTGCCACCTCCGTTTCCATCAATGCAGAGGTGTCCTTTCTTTCTATCAACGGAAAGTTCTCCACTGACTTCCGCAGGATGAAAACCCACCAAGTGAGAGATCAGGCTGTGACCACCAGGGTTCAGGTCAGGAATTTGATGTACACTGTGAAATTCAACCCTGGTGCAATGTTAGATGAAGGCTTCCAGCGGCAGCTTGTCACCATTGCTAGCTATCTGGAGAACAACCACACACGAATGGCTGACTACTTGGCAGAGATCTTGGTCCTAAACTACGGCACTCACGTTATCACGGGAGTTGATGCTGGAGCCAGCCTCATCCAGGAAGACCAAGTGAAGTCCTCCTTTGTGAAAGATGGCAGGTCCTCGAGAATCTCTGTCACAGCTGCAGCTGGGGCCTCTTTCCGCAAAATGCTCCACTTTGACATTAGCACTTCAGTGGCGACAGAAAACGCTTTCACCCAGCAGTATCAGGACAACCTCACCAGCTCCAGGGTGGAGAGTATTGGCGGGGTACCATTTTACCCTGGCATTACCCTGAAAACCTGGCAGGAGAGCACCACCAACCAGCTGGTGGCTGTTGACCGTTCAGGCTTGCCTCTGCCATTCTTCATCACCCCAGGAAATCTGCCGGGATTGCCCACCCCCACCGTGAAGAGATTGTCCAGGACTGTGGCATCTGCCATCTCCCGTTACTACACATTCAACACCTACCCTGGCTGCATCGACCCTGCCTCGCCCAACTTCAACTTCTATGCCAACATGGATGATGGGAGCTGTGAAGGGACAATGACCAACTTCACCTTTGGTGGAGTCTACCAGGAGTGTGCTCAGCTGGAAGGTCCTGATGCTGCTGCGCTCTGCCAGGACCTGGAGCAGAGGAACCCACTCACTGGAGACTTCTCTTGCCCCGAGGGTTATGACGCAATCAAACTGCGCTCCCAGCTACTTGAGGAAGGCTATAGCCACTTGGAGTGCCGACAGGATTGCAAACTGTGGGTATTCTGCAGGCAAGTTTGCAGCGATGTTTTCACCCCTTCCATGGTCCAGTTCAGCTCCTATTGGTGTGCAGCAAGAAACTCCGTCCCTCAACAGTCAGGGTTCCTTTTTGGAGGCCTCTTTAGTGCCCAGAGCCCCAACCCCATGACCAACAGCCAGTCCTGTCCCTCCAACTATTACCAGCTGAAGCTCTTGGACCAGCTCGTAATCTGCGTCAGCAACGATGCCCGGGCACAGAGGAATGCTATTCCTTTTGGGGGGTTCTTCAGTTGCCAGGTAGGAAACCCGCTGACGGGACACCACCGTGGAACAGATGATGACCCCTACTCCAAGAGGTGCCCAGCAGGGTTTGGCCAGCACCTGGCTCTGATCAGCGATGGCTGTGAAGTGCAATACTGTGTCCAGGCTGGGCGTTTCACAGAAGGGGCTTTACCCCAAGCCCGGCTCCCTCCCTTCACTCGCAAACCTGTCATGAGCTTAATTGCCACCAACACCGTCCTGGTGATGAACAGCCATGGTGACCAGGTTTGGATCAAGGACACCCAGACCCAGATGTGGAAGATAGGTAGCCCTGCCGATCTGCACAACATGAACGCTGCTGGTGGGAGCTTCTCAGGTGGAGAGACAGCAGGGGTCACTGTTGGTGCCACCACTGGCTTGGCCATCCTGATTGGCCTGTCGGTCTATGGGTGCAGGAGGTACAAGAAAAGGGAGTACAAAAACATCGGGGAAGAGGAGAGGAGTTTGACCTCAAGCAACAATGCCTGTGATTTCATGGGCGAAATAGAGGTTGAGCAGGAGCAGGAAAGACAAACAGTGTAGTGTGTGTGTGTGTGTGTGTGTGTGTGTGTGTGTGTGTTACTATCAATTACATCAGGATGGGGACCTGTGGCCCTGAAGATGATGTTGGACTCCAGCTCCCATCAGCTCCAGCCAGCATGATGGGAGTAGTAGTCCAGCAACATCTGGAGGGACACTTGAATGCTGCTGTATGTCAGTCACCCCAACCTGCTGCCCTCTAGCTGTTTGGGACTAGAACACCCATGGTCCTGACTGTTGGCTACACTGGAAGGAGCTGGTGGGAACTGTAGTTCAAAGAAGGCTAGTGTATGTTAATGTGCTTTGCTGCAAATGCATGGCTACGAGCTTCTACCTCCTACTGTCTCTTGTTCCTCTTCTCTAACTTTTCTGAGTAAGCAGAAGCACAGCAGCTCCCATAGGCATTTTCCATTAGGTCCAGGGCATTGGGAAGCTGCCGTATACTTAGCTGAATCCTTTGGTCCACCTAGATTAGAAGTGCCTCTTCCGACAAGCAGCAGCTTTCCAGCATTCTTTTTTGTTTTAAAATATTTTTTATTAAATCGTTTGTTTACAAAAGCACACGCATTGTCTCTTTCTTCAGGCTGTGTTTTCTACAGATCAGCTACATTTTTGTGAGTCATTGGTGTTATATGCAGTTTAGGGTTGGGAAGAAAAGGGGGGTGAGAGGAGTGGGGTGGTAAAGCTTATATTATTTTACCTTAGTGCCTGTGTGGGGGTTTTGTGTCAGCGTCACTTGGGTAGGTTCTCTTTCTATTCGCTTGCTATGTTTCCTTGGTGGTGAGAGAGGTTGGGGGTGGCACAGTGTGTGGCTGATTGTCTTTGGTTGGCTGCAGTGGGGTTTGTTTGTGGATGGGAGGGGGGCATTGTTGGGTTAAGTTAGCCATATTGATTCACATGCTGTCATTCTTGTTGTTGTCTTGTTGGGCTGTGTTTGTGATAAAGGGGAGCTATACTGGGGTGAAGGCGTCCTCTTCTATTTCTCCCTGTGTCAGTTTCAGTCTATCGGTTAGCTTTTCTAGTAAGGCCGTTTCCCATACTACTTGATACCAGCACCCCATGTTTATTTCTGATAGGTTCCTCCAGTGTCTGGCTATGGTGTTTCTGACTGCTAAGAGTAGGTGGGTTATGAGCTCTTTATAGTTGTGAGTGGGCATTTGTAGCATTGCATTTCTGATGCAAGTTTCCCCCAACCTCATCTATGGGCATAAGGAGCACATGCCTTTTCCTGGGGAGTTAGAGTACAACAGAGGTGTGGCCTTCCAGATGCTGTCCGACTCCCAATCCCATCAGCCCAAGCTGGCACAGCCAATGGCCAGGGATGATCAGAGCTGGAGTCCAGCAACCTCTGGAGGGCCTCAGCTTAACCTTTTCCCCCATGGGATATACAGCCACACACAGCACCTAAATTGTACTGCAAACAAAGCACAGGTTAAGATGGTGGTCCCATGGGGTGTCATGAAGGGTTGATGATGACAGGACAAGAGAAGACCCTTAGGCTGAAAAAGGCTCCCCGCCCTGATCGGGCCCCAGTGTGAAGAAGTTGCAAATGCTTAACAGGATTTTAAGTTTAACAGGGTGCAGCTTAACAAGGACACTCCCCCCCCCCCACTGTCAGGCAGAGCAGACTATGCATTCTTTACTTTTTTTTACCAGCACTGTTGTAGAAACAATACCAGGATAACACCTTGTGCAAGTCCTAGTTTTACTTCCCAGGTAGAAGAGAGGGGCTGTGTAGCTACTTTGGGGAAACACTTTGAGCTGCTCAGATGGGAGAGGAAGCATGCTTATATTGTCACATGCACACAAAGCCCGGGGCGGCGGTGGAATAGAAAAGGGGGATATGAAGAGAGAATGCAAGTACAGTAACTTCAAGATTCAGCCCTTGTTCAGCTATACAAAGCACTGACTTGCAGCAAAGGAGCTGCAAGGGCTTTTTCTCTTTCGGCAAAGGGATTTTCTCCCCCCACAAGTGCATCTTTGAACACACTGGCCTGGTGCATTAGCAAGATTTTATTCTATTGAGAACAGCTCCTCTGTGCTCCATCAGCAGCTTATGCTCTATTAACATATATCCTCCCGGAAAAGGATGGCAGGAAATGCTTCTTCCAGACTCGTGTCAATGAGTCAGCCACTGATTTGTCTGCAAACCAAGGCAGGTTACCAACAGTATATTGAATTTTTGGTTTTATTTGATCCAGTAAAGGCAACTGCATGTATCCATACATAACAATATATTTTATTTTTTTAAAAACCCTCTTCAATGCAAAATATATGTATATATATAGTGCTTTTTCATAACCATGCAATGCAACATGCTTGAAGGGAATGAACGTCTTGTATTAAGGGAGCCGTCAATGAATATCGTCATTTTTCAGCATGTTGCTCCCATTTGGTTCTGCTTTATTACTTATTTCTCCAAGCTGGTGGAGGGAATCAGTTTTAAGGGACATAAGAAAGGATGTAGGCACTTAGATCTCATGTAATCAAAGAGAGGAAACTACACACAAATAGTAGATCAGTGGGAAAGAATTTGTACAGCTAGAACTCGCCAGTGTTTTATGTACTATTTCTGGATTCTGCACTCAGAAAAATGAAATTGTGCCATTAGAGGTGTGTGAAATATATTGGTATAGATTTACTTATAGCGAAAATAGAGGCTAATTAGGCAAGCTATCTCACAGTGTGGAATTATTTGGCAATGAAACATGTGATAATAAGGAATGGGAATTAGCTAGCCAAGGCGGCTCAGGAAAGAAGCAGTGGGAGAGTCACATGTAGCTGTGCAGTGGTGTGAAGAGGCATCCCCCTCAACCTTCGGGGCCTAGACGAGCCCCACCCTGGTTTCCTGAGTTTTTAATATAAAACACCGCACACTAAATTTCCAGTTCTTCCTGGCAACCACAGAGGCAGAGACTCAAAACCTGCTGGTTGTTTTTTAAAAGTTTAAAGCCAAAATATTAAAATGGCAAATGGTAACCAACACGGCAAATTCTGTGCTTGGCAGGGCAACACATGGAATAGATATGACAAGAACGGCTGTGCGTTCTTGTTGGAATGAGAGAAACGTCTACTTTCACCAGTGTGATCTTAAGGCAGCCTTTGCCAACCTGGTGGCCTCCAGATGTCTTAGACCACAGCTCCCGTCAGTCCAAGCTCACCTAAGGGATGAGCTTGTGGTTTCTAACCCTCTTCCTGACAGGCTTTGCACCTTTCATCACTACATCAGAGGCAGGCATTCCCAATTTCTCCAGCATGTCCAAATTTCTCCAGCATGGCATAGTAAGGATCGGGAGAGGAGAAAGAGAAGGTGCACCTGTTTGATTCCTGCAGGCCATGCAGCTGTTAATGGCACAGTATCTCAGAAAAAAGTTGGCAATCTGAAGTATGAACAGCGAGTATGAACAGATTGCAAGATTAGATCCAACTCAAATTAGAAGTTTAGCAAGATGATCCTGTTTTGTTCCTTCAGTTCTTTCCCTCCCTCCTGACACTTACAAATGAAAGATTTTGATTCTGTCCAAAATCCAAGAATTAGAAGTCCTTCACTGGATCTAAACATTTTCCTTCAAGTTGTGTTAACTGTAGTGAGTTGGTTTTCCATCAACTCTCATCTCAAGCCGAAGTATTTGCTTTCCCTGAAGCAACTTCCCCCTTGTGGCTGTTTGAAAGCCAATGTTCTCCCAGCTAAGTAAACTGCACACATTCACCTGCTCAGGAAGCAGCAACAATAAACAAAGGACAGACTCACAGACTCAGAAAACACAGACACGAGACATTCTTCAAAATTGGCAGTGGAGTTTTCCTTTTATTGTTGTACCCGCCCCCCCCCCAAGGGTGCCATCCTGACGCAATGCAACAAACTAGAGACGGGCAAAACGCACCGTTCACAAACAACAAACAAACAATATACATCATGGCTTCCCCCTCACCCTGCCCTCCCCTCCCCCATCCCCAATACCACTACCAGCACCCCCACCACAACCTGCTTTGGGACTTGAAGAGGACAAAAAGTGGAAGAGAGAGACCCTCTTCCCCCCATCGCCCTCGACAACAGCGTCACATCAGGCTTGTCATTCCCTACGAAGTACAAAATTATCAACGGCTGGAGAGTTCAAGGAAGAAGTAACTCAGCCAAAACAAAAGCAAGATAAAAGGCAAACTGGCTCCCTTCAGTTGGGAGATGACCGTGGCTGGAAGGTTGCCCTTCAAAATCTCTCCCCTATCCTGGAGGCTAAATCACATTTGAGGGAATGCCATGGTGTGTGTGTGTGTGTGTGTATTTGAGGGTGGGGCAGAGAGAGGTTGGATTTAGAGAGTTTAACAAGGCTGGGTAAACTCCCAAACGGGTTTTTCCCCCTGCCAACTGAACCACTCAATCAAATCAAATCTATTAGGGGGAAATCCAAGAAGGAAATGCCTGGCAATATTTATTCAGAAAGGCATCCCTACATAATGTATGATGGCAACCCAGTCAGATGAGCGGCATATAAATTTATTTTTTATTTATTTTTGATGATGATGTAGTAACTGAGTAAAAATTAAAAAGCTGAGACTGGCACTCAACCAAGTTTTACACACAGTAAACCCACTGACGATGACTAAGTTAGGACCATTAATGTCAATACGTCTATTCCACGTAAAACCTAGCTGAACATGTTCTTTGACAGGAGTGTTGATGAGAAAGGAAGAGGAGATTCTCCAGGTGACATGTACCAAGGAGCCACTGATGATTTATTAAGAGCCTCTTTAAAAAAATCACAGCACACTTAACAACCCTTGTGATGTCTCTGGGCTCCTCCACATTCACACACACCCTGCCGCCACCAAACCAGACAAGCATGCAGTCAGACATCTCTACAGACATGCTCCTTCCTATTCCCACATGCTCTCTCTCACACTTTCCATCTTTTATTTTCTCACCCGAGCCTGCCCCACAGAGATTTCACATGGGTTATTAAGGTCTTCGCACATACAAAAAAGTCAAAATATTTTATTCAAATATCAGGGGTGGGCAGGGAAGGGCAGGGACCCAAAGGGCTGTCACTCTTCCTGGGA